AAAAAAAAAAAAAAAGAAAGAAAGAAAAATGAAGTCCAATTTGCAAAAAATTAAAAAAACTTTAAAAGAATTTAGTGTGTCAGAAGATTTCTTTTCATAATACTTAAATGTGAAATATTTGGTCATGTTTTATAGAAACAGTTCGTGATTATGAGCACCAGTTCCACCTGAGGCTGGAGCAGGAGCGATCTCAGTGGGCCCAGTATCGAGAATCTGCAGAGAGGGAAATAGCTGATTTAAGAAGGCGGCTGTCTGAAGGTCAAGAGGAGGAAAATTTAGAAAACGAAATGAAAAAGGTATGAAGGATTGTGTTTATCTATAGAAATATTTAAATCCACATGCAAAGTGTTTTAATATTGTTGTGGTAATAGAAGTTGTACTTTTATGATTTTTCTGTTAGAGGCATTATTTGGACACAGACTTAAGTGTAGCATTAAGTTAATGTGATGCCCTTTCCCAAGATAATGTCTGGCTGACTCCTTCCCTGTCTTCAGATACTGGTCACATGTTGCCACCTCATGAGTCCTATGGTGACACCCTGTTTAACGTCAGTCTGCCTCCCTTCCCCCCGCCCGCTACCAGTGCTTTCTCGATCTCTTTGACTTTACTCTAACTTTTCTCTTTCCATAGTATTTCCTTATAGTACAGAGTTCCCCCATCTATTGAGTTGTTTTCTGCCTTTCTCTCCTTGCCAGAACATCAGCTTTCTAAGGGCAGAAGTCTGTCTGTGTATTGGGAATGCCTTAAAATAGCTTCTAGCACATTGAGTATTGCTCAGTAAATATTACTTGGATGTGTGTTGCTGTTTGATGATTGTGTTTAAACCAAAGTTTTAGAACAGTTACTAGTTTTGCTTTTTGCCTGTGTATCCCGTGTAATGAATATTTCATGTGGTATGCTGAAATACATACTATTTGTGTCTCAACATAGTGCAACTAAATAAAAGTGAGACATTTTATCATTTAGAAAATTTAAAAAGCTTTTTGGCCAGTTTGATTATATAAACTTTTACTTTGTTAATTTATGTATATACATATATTTGAAATGACATATAAAATAATGTCAGAAATTGATTTTTCTTTTCAGTTCAGTTATTATTGTTATGATCTTTGGTTCCTATCTGTTGGTTCAGTCTTCAAATATATATGTATTCATAATTTCTACAATTTGCTACCTTTTGCCGTTTTTTAAGTTTTAAGTTATTAAATAAACGTTTTTAGAACAGTTTTTGATTAACAGAGACATTGTAAAGAGAGTCCAGAGTTCCCATATATTCTGTACTTAGTTTTTCCAGTTCGTAATATCTTGAATTACTATGTCACAATAGTCACAGTTAATAACCCAGTGTCAGTTCATTATTAACTAAAGTCTGTATATTCAATTCAGGCTGCTGTAGTTTGTACTCACGTCATTTTTGTCTGTGATCCCGTTCAGGGTACCACACTGCGTTTACGCATGTCTCCTTAGGCTCCTCTTGGCTGTGACACTTTCAGATTTTCCTTGTTTTTAGTTGCCATTCTGTCATTGTTTAAAGTTCTTTTTAAAAGTTTTGTTTACAATGACAGATGACACCTGGAATTGTGAGATCATACTTGTATTAATAACTTAATCTAATAAATTCTTTGCTTCCTCCCTCAGTTTTTTCTACTGCTTTTTAATCAGAACCTCTATCAGCATTCCAAACAAACTTTGATCACATTTTAAACTAACATCTCTTTTCCAAACAGTACTATTGATAGTTCAAAATAAAACAAGTGGTGACTTTGTAAGGACCTGAAAAGCAAGTAAATCTGAATCCTTTTTTCTTTAAGGGATTTTTTTTTTTAAATCTGCCTCATGTTTGAGCATACTTTATTTGATATTTTCCCCATCTTGAACAATTTGGGATAACATTGGGGTAAAATAATTTAAATTTAATGAATAAGGTTAATTTTCATTTTCGCTGGGATGAGAAAAGCCAACTTTTTGAGCCTGCCTTTGTTTCTGTGTGTGTATATGTGTGTACATATGCATGTATGTATATGTAAAAAATGAAAATTCAGTTTCTTATTAGTTTATTAGTTTATGGAAGTGGTTTCTTTTTAATCCATGTTTTTGAAAATGGAGTTTGGAAAGCAGTGTGATAGTTTTAGAGGTCATTCTTTGGCTTTGTTTTATTTAGATACTAAAAAGTAAAATAATATTTCAAATATTCCACTTACATAACTGGGTGGAAACCTTTTTATAGCAACATAATTTTCTAACATCTTAGAAAGTACATTGTTTTTCTGTTTAAAATGTAATTAAATTTGTTTTAGGAATTTGTATTAATTCAGTAACCAGGAATTATAAAATTTGTTATGTGTATTTCCTTTTATATATGGGATATTTTCTGACTCAGTTAATTAAAAAGTCAAAGTTGTCATAGTGAATACATTTTCCTACTTTCAAATTCTAAATGGAATAGTTGATTTCAGACTTGATTTGAAAGTAATGCGCCATTTGAACGTTAGATGTGGTTTGTTTGTGAACTACCATAGTGCCTAGTAGAGTTACTTATACTAATTTATAGCAAATGGATGGGTGGGAGTTTCTTAGGAAAACAATAATTGAGAAAGTTGTAGCATTTGATTCTTTTTAACCTTAGGCCCAAGAAGATGCAGAAAAGCTTCGGTCTGTTGTGATGCCCATGGAGAAGGAAATTACAGCTTTGAAAGAGAAACTGACAGAGGCTGAAGACAAGATCAAAGAGCTGGAGGCCTCAAAGGTTGTAAAACTTACTCATCATCTGCTTGAAACCCAAAATTCTGTCCTAATGCCCTGAGCAGAATTAGAATCACTAAGGGGAAGAAACTTGATATTTAAATTATATATGTTAAGAATCTTGCTTTCTATAAAATGCAAAAGATGTTTTGAGATAATTTTGCCCTGATGGATATTTAAATAATCACAACAGTGATGCTTTATCATAAATGGCTGCTTTGTCACAAAATTAGTGTTCATTTTCTTATCAAAATAAGATCTGATCTCATTCATTTTTCTTTTTTCCCAAAGAATTATTTATTTAATTTTATTTATTTGTTCATTCATTTTAATTTGACCAGAGAAAGACATGGGGGGGGAGGGAGGGA